TTGAGATGGCACTTTGTGGCATATATAGTGACTTAAAATGTGCTCTACCAAATGGTTGAGCAGAACATTAAAGGGATATGCATGGGTGTCCCTGGAAAAGATGTCATCTTAAAGGCAGCATATTGTTGCTATCTGAATAAGTCTTGTATCTCCAAAAAGGTAACTTTGCAGCAGAAGGAAAAAGTGTTCTTAGCTTATAATGGAAGTCAAAGGGTAAATTATTTGTTCTAAGACATTTTGGAACATTTCTATTGGTCCATTCATCTTGAATTTTTGACATAACATAAAGGGCAGCTGACAATTTCAAATTATGTCAATGAATGAAAAACAACAAAAATGAAGATACAAGGTTTTGTCCTGACAGCGATGATGTGTTGCTCCAAAATCTTTGCGTACTTTTCGACATTACTAGTGCAGAAGCATAAGTTACCTTTGCCAAGGGCTCTGACACAACCCCATGCCATGACAGACCCTGGCTTTTGGACTTATTGCTGGTAAAAGTCTGGATGGTTGTATTAGTCTTTGATCTTGAAATGTACACATTTCTCCCAAAAAAGACCTGAAATACTGATTTGTCTCACAACAATACACGTTTCCACTGTGTAATGGTCCATTGCAGATGTCTCCGAGCCCAGAGAAATCAACAGCACTTCTGGACACTGTTAACATAAGGCTTCCTTTTGGCACAGTCAAGTTTTTCTGCCTTTGTGGATGTAACTACATATTGTAGTGCTTGACAAAGGTTTGCCAAGGTAATCCTGAGCCTATGTGGTTATATCGCTTTCAGATGAATGACGATTCTTCATGTTGTGCCATCTGAGAGATTGGAGAGCACAGTTATTTAACTCAGGAATGCACCCTTGCCCTTTATGCACTGTAATTCTTCCAGAGTCTAGCCCTACTTTTATTGGAATGTGTTGCAGGCCTAAATGACAGGAATGGATGTATATTTACATATCAAATGAAGTTGACCAGACAAAACATGAAATATCTTGTGTTCATACTGTCTGCAATAAAATACAAGTCAAAGTAAATTTTAGAAATCCCTTCTTTCTTTATTTGCATTTTTCATGCAGTACCAACTTTTCTGATTTGGGGCTGTAGTTCAAATAAAATTCATTATTTATTGAAAATGTCCAAAAAAGCATGATTTCCAAATTTCAAAGGACACATAATAAAGTAAATATATTCATCAAAGTATTATTTTCATTTGCATTTTTTTTGCCCATAGACTGTTTTTTTTATATCACCGTCACATAATGTCATAGTAATAGTGATACTGTCTTTCTATTCCTATTAGCTTTAATTTTCACATTTTTACTTCTTTAGGTGTAACGTTTGAGGCATGGAGGCGGGATGCAAATGCGAGTTTTTATTGAAATGAGAGTCCATAATGAAAACAAAACCTAACTACAAGCACGACAAGCAAACAAGAGACAAGGTTACATCCACAATGCAAGACGAAGACTGAACAAACACAGGGGTATAAATACACTGAGGGAAAATAAGAAACACCTGGGACTAATGAGGGGCGGAGCACAGACAGGTGGAACAGATAACAAGGGGGCAGGACCAGGGAGGAGACACAGAACAACAACAAAAGCACATGGTAAAAGAAAACAAAAGGCACATGGCTACAACAGAAGTGAAGAAACAGACACTCAGAGGGACAAAGGGAGAATCCGTGACAGAACCCCCCTCCTAACGAGCAGCTCCCGAGGCGCGAAAAACAAAGGCCATCCAAAGTGGGAGCCGGTTAGGAGGAGGGACTGGGTAGGAGACAGGATAGTAGACCGGACAGGAGACGAGACTGAAGACAAAGTGGAGAGAGAGAACAGGAGACTGGAGCGGAGATACTGGATACAAGAGAGAAGTCTGGACAGTGGAACAGACAGGAGACTGGACAGCGGGCTGAGCATGGGATTGGACAGGAGATGAGACAAAGGATGAGACACATGAGACAGCAGGAGGCAGGACACGAGACAAGACAGGAGATGATACTGAAGACAAAAGTGGAGAGAGAACAGGAGATGGACTTAACATAGACATGGGGACAGGAACAGACATGGTAACTGGGACAGGGACAGAAAGATGGACAGGAACAGACATGGTAACTGGGACAGGGACAGAAAGATGGACAGGAACAGACATGGTAACTGGGACAGGGACAGAAAGATGGACAGGAACAGACATGGTAACTGGGACAGGGACAGAAAGATGGACAGGAACAGACATGGTAACTGGGACAGGGACAGAAAGATGGACAGGAACAGACATGGTAACTGGGACAGGGACAGAAAGATGGACAGGAACAGACATGGTAACTGGGACAGGGACAGAAAGATGGACAGGAACAGACATGGTAACTGGGACAGGGACAGAAAGATGGACAGGAACAGACATGGTAACTGGGACAGGGACAGAAAGATGGACAGGAACAGACATGGTAACTGGGACAGGGACAGAAAGATGGACAGGAACAGACATGGTAACTGGGACAGGGACAGAAAGATGGACAGGAACAGACATGGTAACTGGGACAGGGACAGAAAGATGGACAGGAACAGACATGGTAACTGGGACAGGGACAGAAAGATGGACAGGAACAGACATGGTAACTGGGACAGGGACAGAAAGATGGACAGGAACAGACATGGTAACTGGGACAGGGACAGAAAGATGGACAGGAACAGACATGGTAACTGGGACAGGGACAGAAAGATGGACAGGAACAGACATGGTAACTGGGACAGGGACAGAAAGATGGACAGGAACAGACATGGTAACTGGGACAGGGACAGAAAGATGGACAGGAACAGACATGGTAACTGGGACAGGGACAGAAAGATGGACAGGAACAGACATGGTAACTGGGACAGGGACAGAAAGATGGACAGGAACAGGTACAATAAGACCAAACACAGAAACAGGAACACTGATTGAGACGGGTACAGATATATACATGGTTACAGGGACAAAAACAAAACTATGGACTAGAGACTTGGGGGAAAACACAGAATTAAGTTCATGCAGGCGAAGGAACTGGGTGGCAGACTGAGCAGGGAACTGGAAAGTCGGCACTGAAGCAGGACACTGGAAGGCCGTCACTGGACGCTGAAAGATTGGCATAGGAGGGGGTCGCTGGGAGGTTGGCGGCGGAGCATAATGCTGAGAGGCCGGCACCGAACCAGGACAGGAAATGAGAAAAGGAGTGGCCCAGGGTGCAGGAGCAGAAACTGTGGCATCCCGGGGTGCAGGAGCAGGAGTGGCCCAGGGAGCAGGAACTGGGACTGGTGACGCTGAGGCCATGGGCAGGTCTGGGGATGTAGAGGCTACCAGCAGGTCAGGGAACTCGGAAGCGACGTCCTCGGTGGCAGGCTGGGCCTGCTGCGACGTCCTCGGCGGCAGGCTGGGCCTGCTGCGACGTCCTCGGCGGCAGGCTGGGCCGCAGCGACGTCCACGGAGGCAGGCGGGCCTGCTGCGACGTCCTCGGCGGCAGGCTGGGACGCTGCGACGTCCACGGAGGCAGGCGGCCCTGCTGCGACGTCCTCGGAAGCAGGCGGCCCTGCAGCGACGTCCTCGGAGGCAGGCGGCCCTGCAGCGACGTCCTCGGAGGCAGGCGGCCCTGCAGCGACGTCCTCGGAGGCAGGCGGCCCTGCAGCGACGTCCTCGGAGGCAGGCGGCCCTGCAGCGACGTCCTCGGAGGCAGGCGGCCCTGCTGTGACGTCCATGGCTGAGGCTGGCGGGCCTGCTGTGACGTCCATGGCTGAGGCTGGCGGGCCTGCTGTGACGTCCATGGCTGAGGCTGGCGGGCCTGCTGTGACGTCCATGGCTGAGGCTGGCGGGCCTGCTGTGACGTCCATGGCTGAGGCTGGCGGGCCTGCTGTGACGTCCATGGCTGAGGCTGGCGGGCCTGCTGTGACGTCCATGGCTGAGGCTTTCTCCTTACTAGGGAGCAACAGCTGAAGCCGACAGAGCAGATGGTAGCTCTCCTGAAGTCTGACCTCATTTTCCTTGATAAGGTCCTGCAAACTCGCTGCTTCCCTGTGTGGTCTTGCATTCTGTAACGTTTGAGGCATGGAGGCGGGATGCAAATGCAAGTTTTTATTGAAATGAGAGTCCATAATGAAAACAAAACCTAACTACAAGCACGACAAGCAAACAAGAGACAAGGTTACATCCACAATGCAAGACGAAGACTGAACAAACACAGGGGTATAAATACACTGAGGGAAAATAAGAAACACCTGGGACTAATGAGGGGCGGAGCACAGACAGGTGGAACAGATAACAAGGGGGCAGGACCAGGGAGGAGACACAGAACAACAACAAAAGCACATGGTAAAAGAAAACAAAAGGCACATGGCTACAACAGAAGTGAAGAAACAGACACTCAGAGGGACAAAGGGAGAATCCGTGACATTAGGGCTGAGACACAATATATATATATATATATATATATATATATATATATATATATGTAAACAATGCAGTTAAATCATAAGTTAAATACACAATGTTGTTTAAGTGTTTGTAGCAACTGTACTACCGCCAAGTATAATAATAAACAATAGTATGATTGTACTACAACTACTATAAACCAGGGGTGTCCAGTCTTATCTGCTCAAGCACACCTGATTCTACTTGTTTAATCAAATGTCATCAGGTGACCTCTTGCCTTGTTGGAGTGAAAACCTGCAGCCACACCAGCCCTCTATGGATAAGATTGGACACCCCTGCTATAAACAAAAGAAAAACTTCATAAACAATATTGTTTCTAAAGTGCTCTTTCAGAAGACCCATCCAGGACTTTCTGTCAGTTAACAGATTTATAAAAATGCAGCAAGCTGTAATAGTAAGAAACTGTCAGACTATGATGACATAATAGCTCATTCAATGAAATATCATCAATAGGAATTGCCTGTCTTTAACCTTGAGGAGAGGTGTTATTTGTGATATGTAAGTGCTGTGTGCACGCCCTGTGTAATCACAAGATGAATTCCTTTAGGGCAAGTACGTGACTTACCTGAGCACTCACTAACACTAAAGTTGAAGCTTGATAGGTATGCAGGATTTGTGACGATTACCAGGAAGGATGGGGGTGTTGGTTACAGACTACACACAGGTGACGTGAATGACAAAGGGGCAGGACAGAAACAGAAAGCAGCAGAGACAGACTCAGGAAACCATGACAAACGTTGTTTAAGACACATATAAGACCAAGAAAGATCCACATAGAGGGCATGAAAAGTAAGTGGTGGATTCTCTTTAAAGGAACAGTGTCATAGTATGTTGTATGTTTTGTGTCTGGTATTGTGCTTCATTGTAACGCCCGACAAATGAATTAATAAATAAATGAATAAATATTTATCTACATTTTTAGTTTTTAAAAGAAGAATTATCATAAAAAACTTTCAGCACTAAGCAGCTGTTTGCAATTGGGTGATTAAGACCTACGACCTTGGTATGCAAAGGAAAATGAAACTAAAAAGCAAGAAATGATCACTTACAGGAAAAGTAGTTTGATTTTTGCTAGCTGTGTAAACAGATTGGCTCTGTTTCAACACATTATCTGAGGCAAAGTTTTATTTTTCATCTTCTTCTTCTCTGTTTTTATCTTCTTTTGTCCAGGTTGCGTTTGCTATGCCTTGTTTTGTTTTGCTTTCATAGAAGTTGCTTTCTCGCTTCAACTTCCAAATGAGAACATTTTAGAGTGGAATTGAAAGTGAAAATTATAATCGCTTTATGTCAAGAAACCACTGCCAAACAATATGTCCAGCACAAGCAGGATCACACCAGATGCAGGTTGGTCCCTTTTGATTCCTTGGTCAATGAATTTGATTTGATTTGATCTGAGCGAATCAGTATGTGCCAGGACACAAGAGCAATGTGCAGTTCCATAACAGCCACAGATCATGCTGTTTCTCTCTATTTTGTCTTCTGTTTCAAAGCTCAGGATGGTGCTACTGGGCAGAGTTGGAGCTGGAAAGAGCAAAGTGGCCAGATTCCTCCTGGGAGACAAGCAGCTGAAGGCTGAGATAAGATCATGCGTTGTTTGTGAAGGAGAAGCTGCAGGAAGGGGGATCTGTCTGGTGGACACACCTGGATGGAGTCGTTCTATTCTTCATACCCCAGAGAAGATTAAAAATGAAGTTATTAGAAGTGTACACTTTTGCCCTCCAGGACCCCACGCTCTGATTTTGGTATTGCGTGTCAAAAGCCTCACTGAACTGCCTTCTGTAAAACAACTTAAAACAGCAAGCCGACACATGGAGCTGCTGTCTGAGAGGGTCTGGAAGCACACTATGGTGCTGTTCTTATGTGATGAAGACGTGGAGGATCCCACAGTCGAAGCAAACATTCAGAAAGCAAACAAACTACTGGAAAAATGTGGCAACAGACACTATGTTCTCCGCTCTGAAGCCCTGGTCTCTGAGTTCCTCCAGGAAATTGATAAGATGGTGGAAGAAAACTGTGTTGATTTCTTCCTGCCACAGGTTTACTATGAATATTGTCAAACAAGAATTAAAGAGGCTGAGGAAGCAGTGATTAGGCGCCGGCGTGGAAATGTCGAGGGGCTTCGTCATATTAGTGAGTATAGTTCAAAACTAGCTTTAGGTCTGAATTCTAGCTTGCAGGCCAGGGGTGTCAAACTCAACCACAAAAAGGGCCATAATAAAAAAATCACAACAAATCTGTGGGCCAGAGAACACCTATGTTTTTATATTTTTATTTAACATTTTGCTATTACTGAACTGGCCTTTGTTTATTTGAAATTTGCCAAACCCAAATAGCTACATATAATTGTGAAACCTCTTTAAATTACCCCAGGTTGTAGGTTTTTTAACCCTGCCTATTTACTTGAACTAGACACCTGGCATCTTTTCCTTTTGTGGTGTGACTGCTGTCCCAGGGGAGAGTTGCGTTGCAGTGCATGCTGGGGATTGTAGTGTAGTGTATTGTGAATTGGGCTAATATTAACAGAAAATTAAAATAATTTCGGATTCTTTTATTTTTCAGGCCAGATAGGATTGTGCCATGGGCCTGACATGGCACTGGGTGCTCTTATTGGATTAGTGGCTGGATCTGTCTATGGAGTCATGGGGTCACGCCTGGGAATTGTCATTGGAGCCGTTGTGACAGTTCCACTTGCTTTGTGGTTGATTGGTTCTGCATGTCTGGCAAAAGAAGGTTAAAATATTCTTCAACATTTGCAAGTAAACTGTAAATAGAAGAGTGTAAATTGGCCATCAGGCTTCTATTCAGCCTATGTGCTGTCCCTATTTGTGAAAAAAATGTATTGTATAATAATGTGATCCCAATTTGCTCTTATTATCCTTGTAGAAACTGTGTATTTATCTGTTCATACTGAGGGAGTTGTGCAGGAGCCTGCAGTGGGGAACCCCTTTTGTGCAGAGTCAGAAAAATCTTTTTTTTAGATTAGTTTTTTTAATGTTTCTTTGACAGCACTGACGTCATAAGCAAGGTAACACATGAATACCTGATTCATTGTCTACAAAACACAATCCTTACACCAACATTACACAGCCCAATATTCTGCAACACTAGGCTAGTGTTTGCTCAGGGTTGGAGCTAAACTCTGCAGTGTGGAAGATCTCCAGGACCGGAATTGCTCTACATGTTTTTAAATGGGGCTCTAGTAGACAAATTTCTGATCAATAACAAAGATAAAAAATGCTTTAAAGCCACATTGTGTCTAAATATATACACTCTTATGAACAGCCCAATATATAATGATTTTTCACTGGTCGTTTTGGCCTGGTGAGAATTCAGATTTAAACCCTATAGAGAATATGTGGTCTTACAATAAAACAAGCAATGTTTGAGCTGTTTGAAGCCATCAGTGCTGAATGGAACAACATTGACTCTTCTTTCTATACAAAACATTTGTTAATTTGTAATGTTTTTGTTAGGCCAATAGGTAAAACAATTACACTCATTTTCCAAGGTTTTCCTCCCTATGTTTGTGTGTACACAAAGCAAAAACTCAAAGTTAAATTAATGTAATAATCACCTGACATCTAATTTGCTGTTATATTTTTAAGAGCTTTTGAACTTATAGGAGTTTAAAACAGTGCCTCCTGTATGTCCATGACATCAGTAAGTGTAAAGTCAATATGCTGCTCCCCTCGCCAGCCAATCAGAACTCACTAGCAGCAATGCTAGCATCTTGCTGCACAAAACCTGTTTGCTGTAGAAAAAAGGAAACCTACAAGTAAGTTTTCTTTGCTTTTTACAGACATACGGAGTGGCCATAAGCTAGTTATAATTTTCTGGATTGTTATTTTGAGATAACAAGTTAATTATCTTGCTATTTCAAGATAATTCAAGTTGTTACCTTGAGAAAACAATGGCTAGTTGCCATGAAGGACCAAATGGGTGAACCAGTTTGCTACAGCGCCACCTTAAGGCAGACCAGTGCTGCATCTCTAGTTAGTCAAGAATACCAAAGACAGAAGCTCGCCAGCTGTGGGTGAAGTAGCTAAACAATGTCAGCATAAGATTACAATAAGTTTATTTTCAGGGACCCCCCAGAATTTTGATTTTGACACATTAAGGGGACCCCTAAAGACCCCCTGTTTTTTGCACCTTGCCTCACTCTAACATCATGAAGTGCCCTGAGTGGTTGTTAATTCAACACACAAAAAGCAGTCCATGTAATGCCCTCACTGGTCTACAGAGAACGCTTTAGCCACTGCCGTTCACCTCTCTGACTCACCTGAACAGAAAAGACAATTATGTTAGAATGTTTTTCATAGGCTTTAATTCAGCATTCAGCACAATTATACCACAGCAACTTATTGGAAAGCTGAGCTTGCAGGGCCTGAACACCTACCTCTGCAACTGGATCCTGGACTTCATGACTGGGAGACCTCAGGCTGTCAGGACCAGCAAGAACAAGCACCACCACACTGAACACCGGCGCTCCTCAGGGCTCAGCAAACAGGCAGAAAGTGGGGTGGCGTGCAGACTAGAGCAGAGACAACAATCTGTTTCTTAAAAGGAAGACCCACCATGATCACTCTCCACATCAATGATTTAACTGTGGAGAGAGTCAAAATTCTCAAATGCCTTGGTGTGTACATTACTGATGACCTCACCTGGACGCTAAGCATCACCTGCCTTGCCAAAAAAACCCAGTAGCAACTTTACTTCCTATGAACATCCTCAGTGCAAATCGAAAGCTTCTTAACCAGCTGTCTCACTGTCTGGTATGAGAACTGCACTGTCTTGGATTGCAGGACCCTAGAGTGGATTGTTAGGACAGCTGAAAAGATCAATGGGGTCTCTCTACCCACCATCGACATCTCCTACCACATGCACTGCATCTGCACGACTGCCAGCATTGTGGACATCCCCCATCCCTCTCATGGACTCATCACCCACTTGTCATCAATCCAGTAGCTTTGCATCGACACTGCTTGCTTGTTATGCTGAGAGCTGGATCCTTTAGGCTAACACTGGGAGCTGACTCACATTGAGGGGCCTTTTTTTAAATTGAGAAAGTGGCAGATCTTTTTTGACCTGCATCTTAAAATCACAGCACCTCTGACCTGGATCTATTAGGAACATTCTGGCTCTCTCTTGTTATGCCCAAACCTGCTGTTGTTATGTTGTGAGGCTCTGGTTTTGTTATATGCGTTTTTCACTGTAATCATCTTTGCTGATGACTGGTTCTTGGATTTGCTGCATTTTGCTCATCTGCTTACCTTGTGATCTCTGCCTGTGAAATTCGTCAATTAAAATAGGTATAAAGATTCTTATTAAAATTGACAATGCAAATGAAATACCATGGGAGCCGAAAGAGTTGGGTGGCTCTTATTTGCAAGCTGAGCTGAGCTGGGCTCTCTTTATTGAAAGCTGACTTATTAGCATTGCCACAATTCCCACTTGCACCGGAAGGGCCAACTGAGATCTTATACATGTCTTCTGTCTTCAGTTTGAGAAATGAGGAACAGTCACTTTTTATGCAAAACTTTTTCAGTTTTCAGATTCACAGATATGCTGTGGCACATGGTAAAGTTTTTCAGAGGTATCCAGGGCATGGTTACAGTTTCTAGGCTTTGGAGGACCATTTGGTGGAACCAGTGTGCTACAGCACCACCTTGAGGCAGACCAGTGGTGCATCTCCAGTTAGTTAAGAATATCAAAGACAGAAGCTCGTCAATTGTGGGTGAAGCAGCTAAACAATGACCTTTCCCTGAACCTGTATTTGAGTGTATATTTTCCTTAATGGACAACATCATGATAACATACGTTTATTTTCAAGGACCCCCAGATTTTTGCTTGTAAGCCATTCAGGGGGTACAAGAGGTTAATTAGGGGTCTCAGACCCCCCAGTACTCCTTGTACGTTGCACCTTCGGCATAGGTGATGCTGGTGGCCACTGATTACTAGAGAGGAGCTCTATGCCTCCCTCTGGTGGCCAAAGTCAGGCGACTCTATCCCAGGCCAGACCCTCACAACAAGAGTATGCTAGGAGCAGAATTTGAGAATTTGTGTGAATAAAATGTTTTGCAGATAGAATAATTCACAGCAGAAATAAGAGCACAATCAGCAGTGTAGTAACAAAAAATATCTTTCAGAGTAAAACTGAGACTCAAAAATTATGACATACAAAACAAACTTGGTGGTTTCAGAAAAAAAAATTAGTTTCCTAAAGATATTGCAGGGGATAAAGAGTGCATTCTCAACCATATCACCTTGAAGTTATTATTGACATTAAATATTAATAATGCTATTGACATTTACACCCTACATTCAAATCTTTTGCAGGATAATACCAAACATTTGAGTTTATGTAGCTTTGTCTTCAAAACAAAATTTAGGAAGAAATTTTATTTTATTTTATGTTCCTGGAAATGTATCTCACACTTTAGCACTCACTGTTGTGTGTTAATACATAACTGTAACATAATTGTAACACACACAATACAAGTGATGGCTACTTACGTTGTAGGAGCAAGTGATATTCTGCATTTGCCTGTTATCCTTTCAAGTCTGATGAAGGAGAAGACAAGGACCAAAGAAAAAAAAAAAAACAAGCTGTGGTGTTAATAATAGTTTACTCAGCCAAGTCTCTGACCTACTTTAAACTTTCAAGCACTGTGAGATCGTATGATGGAACGTCATCATTTTGAATAACAGGAACTGCCTCATGGACTTGAAGAATGCTGCTCTTCTAGGTGTGCAAGAGTAAAATGCACGCCCCATTTAATCAATGGTGAGCTCTTTCTTCATACCTGTGCGCTTTAACGCCATTTTAGATAGCATACCCATGGCACAAGGAAGTACTGTAATGGAGGACACACCAAAAGTAAGTGGTTTATTCTTTTTAAGCTACTTGGGGGAGCAGCATTTTATTCTGTTGTATTCATCAAAGTGAAAGGGATAAATATCTTCTTGCTTTTTTTTTGCAGCAGTTTGCATTTTAATAGATCCAGTTCTTTCTGTTTACGTGTCAACAAGTGGTTACGCAAGAAATCAGAAAAGTTTCTCTTTGTCTATTTTTTGCAACAAGAATGAACAAAAGGTGGATGCAGACTGTTGTAGCAGTAAACAACATGGTATAATCAGGTGATTTTAGACAGTGCTTCAGTACATTTCAGTACACTTCAGCAAAATGAAACTAACAAGCAATAAACAACAGCCAGCATAGGCAAATCTTTTCAACCTGTTCTAACAGGCTGGCTCAGAGTATTACAAAGGTGAAATGCTGTTTCACTGTGGGTTTTTGAAACTGAAGCACAGCATCTCCAACTGAAGCTTAATACTTTAGCTTGCTTTGTACCATTGCACTTCATACATGTGTTGACCTGTCTTGTTTTGCTTCTATGTACAGAATTTGTTCTCTTAGATGACCATTTAACAACTGAAAAGTGTTTTGGCGAGAAGTCATATGGTTGTTATGAGCTAAATATCTGCAGCGACCATGGCAAGCAAATCTTCACCAACAGCTCCAGGTTTGATGTCTTTTGTTGAAACCACAATGTGTACATACAGCAGTGTGTAAAGTCAAAGATATTTCTTTCTTTTCCAGTGCCAAAACAGCCATTAAAGAAATGTTATTAATTTTTCAGCATTAGGAAAGAAACAGAAAATGTAATTTGAACAAAACATTACACAGAACCATAACAACTAAATATTATATTTTTTTCTGGATTCAATGTCCACTTTTGACTTTATTACAGAGTCCATTATTTTCAGGAGATTTGCTTTTAGTTTTTCAAAGAAATCTGCAGGGATATTTTTCCACACCTCCAAAATTCAGTCTTAGAAATTGCTTTTGCATTTTCCGCTTCTCACATTCCAAATAATCCCAATTTAAATTTTAGACTCATCAGTCCATACAACCATACTCCATATTTCAGCTGCACAGTGTCAGTTTTCTAGTTCCTCTTTTTGTCTGTCTCCTTTTCTCAGTGAGGCTTCTTGACAGCTACCCATCCTTTCAGACTCATAGCATTGAGTTGTCTTGTCACAGTGGAAGGATGACTGTGGATTTTCTCAGATCTGAAGCAGGAGTGGAGCTTGATTCTTTGATTTCCTCTCTCTCAAAGATGAAAACTTTAAGTGGTGTTTATCTACACTATTGGTGGTCTACCAGGTCTTTCAGGTGGTCAGTAAAGTTTTCAGTAATGTCAGTGAGATCTTTGGGAACAGCTTTTGTTGGAAGCACACATCTGTAACTGATTGGTTTTAAAAAGATACTTAGTGTTGGAGGATTTTGTGTAATTTTCTGTTCAAAAGGTTTCCTGCTTTTTCTGACACTAAAAAATGAGCAACTTGTACTTGATGACTGTTTTGACTGGAAATGAAATAAACAAAAGGATGATTTCTGACTTACAGCACTATGAATACTATAAAGGAAAATGTGACTAAATTAAGATACTTAAGCACTGTGCTTGTATCACATCTACAGATTGTCATGTTTTTTCTGCTTACAGGGGGCCCAACTCCTCTTTCAGAGCTGAGGGTTGTGCTGCTGGGGAAAGCTGGAGCTGGTAAGAGTAAAGTGGCCAGACTCCTACTGGGAGGAAAAGACCTAAAGGAAGCTTGTGATCGTTGTGTTTTACATGAAAATAAACATGCAGGAAGGAGAATCTGGGTGGTGGACACACCAGGATGGGACAGATATTCCATACATAATACCTCAGAGAATATCAAAGAGGAAATTATAAGAAGTGCGAGCCTCTGCCCTACAGGACCCCATGCTCTGATTCTGGTGCTGCCTGTAGACAAACTCACAGATGCTCACTCTGCAGATGAACTTAAATCAGCACAGCAGCACATGGAGCTTCTGTCTGAGAGGGTCTGGAAACACACTATGGTGCTGTTCCTATGTGATGGAGAAGTGGAAGAAACCACAGTCACAAAGCACATTGACAATGCAAAAAACCTTCTGGAAAAATGTGGCAACGGACATTACGTTCTACAGAACATGGGCTCAGAAACCCAAGTCCATGAATTCCTCAAGAAGATAGAGAATTTAGTGGACAATAATGATTACTTCCCGCCACAGACTTACTTTGATATGATACAGAGTAAAACCCCACAGCCTGAAGACACAGAGGTGAAGGGGGATAAAAAACACTCTGAAGAACATTCACAGGAGAAAACAGAGCTCCGGCACAGACGTGGAAGTTACCCAATTAACAGACCAAACTGTAAGTACAGCACATTAAATTTTGTACCAAATACCTACTGAATATATTGAGTAATACTATTAATATGCACACTTAAAATGTGCACTCTTAAAATGTTCTTTCAAGGGTTCTTTGGTAAAGGCAATTATTATTGTATGTAGAACCATAAACGTTCAAAGAACGTTTTGAATGTGTAAATGGCTCTTTAAATGGTTAAATGGTTCTTGTCTATGATCAACAAACAGTTGTATATGGTGCTTTAAAATGGTTCTACATAGCACCAAAAAGAGTTTCAGTATTGTTGTGACTCAAAGAACCCTTCTTTAGTATTTCATAAGATCTTTTTTCTAAGAGTGTGCTCTTGAGCAAGGAAATTAATTTAGAGTAATCAAATGTATTTATGGTAATGAATTTGTTATTTCTTGGCTGCCTTGACACTATTACTGTTTTTGACAGTAAATGAAGAAAAAGGGACTTCTGGGAATCAGACGGAGGGTGGTGAAGCTACCAAGCACCAGAATCAGGATGACTTCTATGCATTGCTATGGAACTGCCTTCCTCCAGCAACGGTGATACTATTTGTAATTATTGGGGCACTTATAGGCTCAGTGGCAGGAGCTGCATATGGACCACTGGGGTCAGGTGCAGGGATTGTTTTTGGGGTTGTGCTATCAGTTTTAATCTCTATTTTGCTGATTTATGCCCTAAACTTGGCAAGATGGAGAACAACATAGGGTTAATGAGACTCTCTATGTCAAATGAAAATTGTAAAATATAAAAAAGTAAGATGTGTTAGAGCAATGTTAGAGCAGATTTTGGTGCTGGATCAGCATTTACATTATTCAAAAATGTATGTATATATATGATGAAAAAGGGAGTGAGGGAGGATATGGGGAGCAGGACACAACACTGTGCACAATTGTTGGGAGTATGATTATATACTAGAGTGATACTGACCAGAAAATAAATAAGACAGATTTTCAACATTCTCGAAATGTCAAATGTAGAACATAAATCTATCAAGTGCTAAATGTTTAACAGTGCTGGGCAGCTCCACTCTTCTGTGGTGGTATTCCCAAAACAGCTCAGATCACATTTTCCCAGTGTTTATGAAGCACTGATAAAAGTTTAGAGGACTCAGATCTGAGCAATAAAGCAAAATGTATGCACTAATATGTATATTAATATGGATATTAATGGACAAATTACAAAACAAGTCAATGAGCCTTCCCTGGTTAGCCTGGACATTTTTGGTGTCTGAATTTTGCTTCTTTAGTTAGCTAATGTGGCTAACAAGTAATAGAAGCATATTTCCCACGAATTATCATCAGGAAAGTTGCCTATGTGTCTTTTTTAATAAAGTTCCATGGTGTTTTTAATCAGCTTAACAGAACATTCTGTTGCCTACTTAGCCTTTAGCATCTTTGATTTGGTAATTAGGTGGTCTCAAATTAGGCTTCTCTCAGAGTCTGTGTGAGAAATATTCATCCTTTAAGGTATCTAAGTTGGCTACTTTTTATTCATTTTGGTTTGTATTTTTATTTAAAATCTTGTTTGCTTGGATAGTTGTGTGTCACAGACCTCCTTTGGAGGAGTGGTGCTTCTCAAACACATCACACATTTGGTGATGAGACTGTATGGTACATGATGAGACTTTTGTAAATAAAATTGCGAAGAACTGCTCGCCTAATTTTTGTCTACACATAAAAACAGTATATTAATATATAAACTCTGTGAAAATGGGTTTGGGCCAAAAAATACAGGGAATTGAGAATCCATTTGAGAATTGAAAATTGAGAATAGGGAATCCAATTGAGAACATGTCAGCACAAGATTACAATATTACCTGTGTGTCTTCTATTCAATAAAAAAATGTTCACCCTCTCTCATCAGACAGTCAGAAAGACTTGTCCAAGGATGAGAACTGTGATCAGTGGATATGATGTTTTTCAGCTTTTGTGGAGTTTACAGAGTGACCTGCAGGTTACCAAGCATGATAATTCTTTTAAAAATATGTGAGAACCATGGGGAATGACAGAGATGTCTGTCTCTGGAACAGCACAGCTCACAGATTTCCAGAGCTCACGCAACCAGTCATTCTGGACAAACAGGTTTAGTTTCAACAGTTACAAGAACCTGAATGTGCAATGAACCCGTTTACAGACTCAAGCGGCTCATGTTATTTTGTTAAAACTAGCAGTAGATTTGAGTGGATCATTCTTGTAAAACTGTCAGTTAAGTGTCAATTTATTAATTATTGCTAGAAGGGTTAGTGACTTACTTGTTAAATAATTTATTTGGGAGTGATGCTTGTGGACACCACCAAACAGGACATTTTAGGCATCAATTTACAAATGATAATAAAGACAGTTACATCATTTAAACCAGACAGAAGGTAATTAGATGCTTAGTGATGTACAGGCTTTTAACAATAGCTTCTTGCAGTAACCACACCAACAGATTTTATTATACATCATACAGGTGTTTGAAAAGTGGGTAGTTTTTTTTTATAACATTTTTTATTTTTATAAATATTGTGTGAAAAGTTTATGATGAATGAACCAATGGTAATAACTGAATTACTTGCATTTAAACATTGCTATATTAGCAGATGTTAAGAAAATTTCAGAGATACAAGGCATTCAAAATGTACATAATGTGGTATTTGTGTCAGGTTCTGCCATATATATATGGCAGACCAAACAGGAAACATTTAATGAATATTGTTATACATAAACTTTGATATTAACATTGATGTGTATAGAATGAACATTGATATATATTGAATGAACTTTGATAAATATCAAAGTGTAAAAAATTCTAAAATCGTAACCAACAGCCTGTTCAGCTGTTACTAATATAGCAATTATATATATTGTTGCACATCATTACAGTGAGTAATGAAAGAAACGGTGCAATGTGCCTTTAAAAATCCTGCAACCCTTTAAGACACACAAGGCTCTACTTGCATTTGCAATAGCTCAGTAATTACATCACTTCCTAAAACTGTTTTCACTGAATATTTTCTTATCATTTAGCTCCATCTTTCTGCAGTTCTTGCTTTTAACAGAATTACTACAATGCCCTAAAAGTTCTAAACAAACATAAACTGCACGTTAACACTGAAAACCAGACTGATGTGTGAGGGGTTCTGCTGTCAGGCTTTCTGTTCTGTTAGAATTCTAAGTAAAAGTGACTCTTTAGGAACCGGAGACAACAGGCAATATCCTGTTTTTCCAAGTAAACAGAGAGAAAGTGAGACCCACACATGCGACTCCATTTCAGAAACATAAAGGGGCACGAAGTAAGTGAGTGGTGGGAAACCCTCAGATCAGACTGAGGTAATCTTTATTCTTTAATGTACTTTCATGAGAAAACTGTCTAATAAATAAAATAATATAATTTTATAATTTTTGATTTTTTTTTAATTAAGGATAGTCCCGTGTTACATACAACAACAACATTTATTTGTATAGCACTTTTTACAACTAGTGTTGTCTCAAAGCAGCTTTACAGGAAAGTAATTTATGGAAGGATCGAAAGAATAAAACAGAAAAGAAAAAAGAAAAAAAAAAGAGTCCATGTATAGACATAAGGAGCTGAATCCGAGTCCAAGCGCCCCCATGAGCAAGCCAGATGCGACAGCGGCAAGTTTACATACTGCGGGATCAGCTGCATCTGAATGCTCTTCAATGCAATTTTAGATACCAAGTCAAGTACCAGGAAACAACTGAATGGAGGATATGTCATGAAAAGTAAGCAGTTGAATCTATTAATTCTACTTCAGGGGGAATAGTGCCATAGTATCCTGTGTTCTCATGTAATTTAAGGTGATTTAAGGCAGTACCTCAGCATGCAGAGCAAAATAAAACTGTGTATATGAAGAACTGTAACAACAGGAAAACAGGAGAACTTACAGAAAACACAGACAGATATTTTGAGCTGCATGCGAACGAATTCACACCCTAGATAAAAAACAAAAGGAAATTTATTAAAATTAAATAAAGTATTTGAATAATTTTAACAGTCCAACTGTGTAGATTTACAGCATTTGATAAGCAAAGTTCAGTTCAGTCCAACTGAAGCTTAAAGGGGAATTCCACTAATTTTTCTAAATTTCTGCATATTTCAGTGGTTGAGATATAAACAAAGTCTGTATCCACTCACTTTCCACTCTATTAGACACTCCTACCTTGTTAGTCCACCTTGTAGATGTGAAGTCAGAGACGACAGCTCATCTGCTGCTGCACAGTCTGGTCATCTTCTAGTCCTTCATCAGTGGTCACAGGACGCTTCCCATAGGATGTTGTTGGCTGGATATTTTTGGTTGGTGGACTATTCTCAGTCCAGCAGTGACACTGAGGTGTTTAAAAACTCCAGCAGCACTGCTGTGTCTGATCCACTCAGACCAGCGCAACACACACTAACACACCACCACCATGTCAGTGTTACTGCAGTGCTGAGAATGATCCACCACCCAAATAGTACCTGTAAAAGGGGGCTAACAAAGTATGCAGAGAAACAGATGGACTACAGACACAATGTATTTAAAAAAAATAGGATATCAAATCATTGAACTGCATTTTGACAGTGCAGCAGTACCTACAACACTTACATTTGCCATATTAAAGGTTCAATGTCTAATAATTTTGTTTTACGATAATGGAATATAAAATTTCAAAAGGTATTTTAAACAGTAAAGTGCATTGGACAGGTATTTTGGCTAGGTTCATTCATTTAAATACATCTATTTTTATATGGTAGATTTCTAGGTGTAATATTTCCCCATACATTTGGTTAATATGGCAATATATCCTGAAATACATTTTAGTGTTTGGAATTGGATTGCACTGTATCTGACATATATTTCAAACAACAAAAATATGTGTCCATATATTTTTTTCCATGTGGGACAGCACTGCACAGTTTAATGTTTTTCCTGGTTTAGAAGACTTTATGCAGGTATGTTTTATTGTGCATGAACACAAACAGACATTGTGTTCCATCAGTGTCGATGGAGTGGTATGGTGTTGTGGAGCTGGGTGTGGACATTTTCACAGTCATGGGACCAGTTTCACTCAATTTGTAGTTGATTGATGCTAAGCTGGCAAGAAACAGTTCAAACTGTGATAGTATGTGAGTGAGAAATCACAGCGCTTAGTGTTTTTCAAATGCACATTACAGTAACTGTCTCTCTGTCTGTGATCAGCAAAGTGGACTATTCTAACAGTCACACCTTATAGAGCCTCCTTACTGGTGTGCAGTTAGAGTTGTGATTTCAGCTCTAAACCAGATCTAGCCTTCTAATTCCGAACATCCAGTCTGGACATTTTTTCCCCAGGTACTCTAGCTCTATAGAAGCAGGTTCATCGCCACACATTCTTTTATGTGTTTCTAAAAAGTATTTCTACTGGTTGATCATTTAACAAATCATTTTCTTTGTTTATCTTGTCATAAACAAAAACAAACATGGCAGCTGACAAGATAGATGCTCACCGCCTCCAAGACCAAATGAAACACAATTGATGAATGGTACATGAATTATTGAATTATTAAATGAATTATTCTGTATTTATTTCAGAAATGTTTTTGCATGTATGCCTCTCCTAGAAGGTCCCTCTCATGAAAGTAAAAAAAGGAAATAGTAGATATTTATTTCTACATACACATCTTGAGATAAGGTTTAATGTCCAGTAACATCTGAACATTTGCATCACAAATCTCAATCCTTGTGTTTTGCAAACCTGGTGTTCTATGAATTTGGGGCTAATATTATTTTTTTCAGTTATTTCAAAGGATTTTACTATACAGTACACTGTACATATTAGGCACATGAATTTGCAAAACAATTTTAAATGATCATATTGATTATCATTAGGATAACAGACCCAAACAAAAAACTCAGTAAGGTTTCTGTGCTTCAGAAAAAAATGTTTCTGAAACAAAGATTCTGTCTATGACACTGGGCTTTCGGTTCTAATATATCCCACATAATATGTAATATAGCTTGTGTAATGTTTTCTGACTTTTTTTAATCAATTACCTCAACTGTTCAAACCATTTCTTCATTTTGGATATAGTAATGCAAATCAGTGTATATACTTTATGTTAAAAGGGTTGGGATGATATGAAAATCCATATGAAAATTATTTAATATTTTAGGAGCGGAAGTCCAGGTAGTTCCAAGAGTTCAGAAACGTTTTCATGCAACTGGACATATACTAATCACAGCAAATGTTTAGTGCTTGCTTTTTGTTTTGTTATTTTTCATTTTTCAAAACCTCTCATTTCGTGTGCTTAAGTACAAATGTCCTGTATACTGGACACTAAATACAATAATTATAATAATAAACATATAATATATAATATATAATAAATATAATAACTATAATAATTGTTCCTAGTAAAAAAAAAAAAAGAAGAAAAAGGAAAAGAAATAAAATCACATATCATGCAGCTGAGAACATGTTTCATAACAAAAAATTGTTTCTGAAGCATCTAGTCTCGGATGCTAGGATGCTAAGGATGCTAAGGATACTAGACTTGAGTTTTATACATATGGGTTAGAAGCTGGCTGAAAAATTGTGCACGACAACAGATGGTCTACAGCAGGGGTCTTCAAATCAAAACCTTGAATCCACCTTCCAGTTCTGGATGTTGTAATAACTGGTTAACTAAACAGAAAAAGGTTAATATTACCTCTGATCTACAGTCTGTAATACTGTACAACTAAATACAGAGTGGACCTCTAGAGCAGGTGGAGCTCATAAACTGGCCTGTGAGTGGAAGAACCAGTTAGGTGTCTCTGATAAAAAGAATGGTGAGAGTAAGGAGAGGGATCTCTATTTGGAATTTGAACACCCTCTTGTGGTTTAATAGTGTAACAGCATACAGATTGTTGTATGCTGGATTCCGATTCCCTGGCAGAATCCGACTCCCCATGCACGTCACGCAGGCATATGGATGCTGTAGATGACACTTGCAATTTCAGTTGTTTATAAACTGCAGAGCCGGTTTATACGGAGCCTGGCCTTTACCTATTTTCCACGTTATATCAAAAACATGACTACAAAATGCCAGAAGATGCGGCTAGCAAGTCCTCAATGAATGGGTGGAAAATGCAGCTACTAGGCTAAAATTCACTAATCACTTTAAAAAGTAGGAGGATTTATTTCACTAAAAAGCAAAGGCAACTTACCTGTATGTTTCCTTTTTTCTACAGCAAACGGGTTTTGGGCAGCAGAATGCTAACATTACTGCTACTGAGTGCTGATTGGTTGGCGAGTGGAGCAGCTCATTGGTTGTTCGTGCTCACTGACATCATAAACATAAATGAGGCGCCGTATTAAACTCCTATAACTCGAGTTCAGCAGCTCTTAAAAATATAACAGCAGTGTTAAAGTGTTTTATGCTATTCAGTGTTCAGGATATGACTGCATTCTTTTACATTAAAAATGTTTAAGCATTTATAAACTATGATTTTGCTCAAATGCTCCATCTTAACCCATTCATTTTGGTCTCACTCAGGAGTGTCCTCTAGTGTTTGAGAAACCCGGAAGACATTACAAGGTGGTAATTCTCCTCTCAAGTTCTTTGGTTTCTGTGTATAGATAAAGGCTTATCTATATCTTTAACCAGGATCACAAGCCAAACAAGGAATCTCATAGCGATATAAGCATATTAAATGGTATTAATTAAATGTAACAGACTAAATACTTTGGTGACTGAAGGCCTTTCAGTCATAAGTATTACAAGAACACTTTAAACACAGTTTTAATTCTCAGGTCTGGAGCAAAAACATACTTGCTATAACCAAGTTCACCTTTGACCATGTGATGCTGCACTATTACTTTTGTCTTCATTATCATTGGACAGCCTGGCATTCGTTTATTTTTTAATGAAATATTTGAGATGTATACATACACCCTATTTATCTCTAATTATTTAGCTAGGACAAATCCAGAGTGCTTAATGTTTATGAGTCATAAACATAGAACTGCATGAACAGAAGTTGGCTCATGTGATTAAAAATGGTAGTTATTTTAATATTAATTTTTGTTGAAACATCTGACTTTCCAGTCAGGAGGAGTGTTTAAAACCTGACCAAATTATACTGGGGTGAATGTCTGATCAAAATCTTATTCATGTGACCTGTCTTGGTATGTAGGTTGTACCATATAGAACATAAGATTAACAGGGAGGATTTTAATAGAGTGAGTAGAATTTTGGCAATGCTACTTTAACACCTGCAGATACTGCCCCTTATCTCTGAGATACAAGGTCACAAAAAAAAAAAGGACCAATGGTAGGGAACCATTGTGTTGGACCACCAGAACTGTCCCCATCAGAGAAACAGCACTTAAAGCTTTCATCTTTGAGAGAGAGGGCATCTGAGATGTGAATTAAGGTTCTACAGACTGAAGAGTCTAAATTTGCAATTGGGAGTAATTTAATTATTAGAAGCAGAAGATTCAACTAACTTCTAAGACAGAACTTTAGACCTGAAAGCAAGTATCCTGGAAAAAAAGAAACCCAAACTTTTTCCTAGTTTGAAAGTGACCTTTGGTGTTTTAGCAAAACACACACACATGCACACGCACACTCCTCCCATAAATTACCCCTCAGACCTGAATATGCTCTGACACTGTTTTGGATACAAACCTGGCGGCAGTGCTGGTGTTGGAGGACGTATCAAGGAGATAATGTAAGTTATTGTTCAATTTGAGTTTGAGTTTTTGTTATGTGTTCATAAACAGCCTGTTTTTTATGTTTTGCCCTTTTATAACCCAGAGCTTAGTTAATTATTTTTGTTTTATTTTTGTCTTTTTGATTAGTGCCAGCATGTATGGCGATGGTGAAATAATAGTCAGAAAATATTGTGTTGTTTTGTCCTTCATCTACTCTTAAAGATCATCTGAAACAATGATCATCATGTTCTTCAAAAACATGGGCATAAATTATCAAAGTAAAAATGGGTACATTTTTATAATATATGAACACACAAAACAAACACCAACTAGAAACAGCTTATAACAGAGAAACAGCAATACATTTTTAGAGCTGTTAATATAAAAATATTTTATTCCAAGTAATTTTGGACCATTTCTACTAGTCAGTCCATTAAGACATATGCATAGTGTTGTTTTGGCAGTGACAATGACATTTCTGAATAATTTTATCTCCAACTGAAAATCCTGTGTTTTTTTTAGTGCTTTTTCTTGCTTTTGTCTTGACCTGTTTTGTTTTGTTTCCATACAGAGAACTTGGCATGCTTACCATTTCCAAACAGAAAAATTCAAGAGAGAAATTTAAAGTGAAAATTGGACAACCAAGACTGAAATTTCTCCAGCTTTACTACAACCATGGCAAGCAAACTGTTAGGTTGGATACCAGTAAACATGATTATTACAGATAGTTGATGAAATGTATAGATCACTGTGCTTGTTCACACCATCCATAGATCATGTTGCTTTCTGTCTAATGGAAGCTCACCTTTTGTTTCAGGGTTGAGGAAGGTGGTGCTGTGTAACTTTCACACAGAAAAGAGTGAAGTGATCAAAGTCATCCTGAAAGGCAAACAGCTAAAAGAAGAAAGAGAATGGTGTGTGCAGCAGGACAGACAACTTGCTTGGTGGATGCATTATTTTGGGATAAATCTGATGTTTGAGAAGGTCTGGAAATGCATTTTAGTGCTGTTCTTACGTCATGGGGTTATGGAGGAACCTAAAATCAAAGGATACATTCAGAGTGCCAGCAAACTGCTCAAACAATGTGCCAACCAACACACCATTCTACAGAGCAAATCCCCACAGCAGGACGACACAGTGAAGAAAGCCAGGAGATGTGGAAGTATGCAAGGGATTCCTCCGAATAGTGAGTATATCACCTTCAATTCTGTAAGAAAATATTGCACTGTTGTCAGACAACAGGTTTATGATCCAGGAGGCTTTATTACAGAAACCTTACATCTTTATTCTGTGGTTAAGATCTGACAAGGTAAAGATAAGATTTTTCAAAAATGTGTATTACAGAAGCAAATCTTATCTTAATTTAAGAATTATATTGTATATTACAACATCTTATCTCAAGGTATCTGTAATATGGCCTCAGGGTGTTATAGGTGTGTTCCCCAGCTGAAAATACTGTATTGATTTGCTCTTGAGCGAAACAGATGAATATACATGAATGAAAATACATAAGATAATTAGATAATTATTTCTCTCTCATTTTATACAGTTAATGAAGGAATGGTGGACTCAGACAGCATGGAGACTGATTGGAATATACTACTTGTACAGCTACTGAAACCAGCAGCAGTGATTCTTGTGGCAGTCACTGGGATACACACATACATAGACCTAGTGGCTGTCATCCTAATGGAACACTGGGCAGAGTTGGAGAGATTGTTATTAGATTTGTGGTGCCAATTCCAATCAATATCGATGTATTATTGCTGGCAAGAAATAAGAATTTAAGCTGCACTAAGGCTAGCTTTACACAGTGAAACTTTCATGCCACTACTTTCATGTTGTGAGTTGCCTGCAACTGGCGTGCACCTAGACTATTACCCAGCAATTAAAAAACAATCAATGTTGCATGCAAAACATTGTTATTTCACTAGTTAACCAAGCTCTTTTTGATGCACCATCATTCTCGCTATAATTTCCATGAGGTGGAATATCTAAAGCATTTTTATCATCTTTGTGTGTACCTATCTAGGGCCTATCTATCTGTCTGCCATAGAAGATCTTCGCATATCAGATGTAATATTTTTCTGAAGAATATTAATTTGAATTGTACGTATCGCAACAATAACCAGCAATGCTGCACATTTGAGGAACTACATAAGGCCTACGGTTTGTAAATACATGGCAAAAGACATAAGTAAAGACTGAACCATAGTGTGCATAGCATTATTATAACAATATGCAATAAAGCTAGCAGAGATGAGACACAAAACCATAATGAGAATATGTATATTAAAATAAAAATCCAAAAGCATAGGTTTTTAACTAACAACATTTAACTGGGATTATTTTATTACCTTAGATTAGTTCTATGTTTTGTAGGCAGGGGAGTGGGAGGTGTATTTGTATTTATGGCTTAAGGTTTAATTTCTACACTTTGGATTGTATAGTAACCTTATCACATTTTATTAGATCTCTGGTACTCGATATATAGTCTATATAAAGAAGAAGTTATAGCCTAATATAGCTTTGTCTAACTAAGTTTAAGTAATCTATTTTCATTTATTCACATGTATCCATGAGAAATTATTTTAATTAACTTCTGCACAGGTGGCAATTTTCCTCCAATATGTTCAATACAGCAAATAAACAGTGATTATGCATCAAAATGTGCAGAATTGTGTTCTCATTAGAGGATGTGTTAACTTATTTTCAAAAAAACATGTATTTTGTCCAGACGTTTGCCCAAACTTTTGCATATGATTGTTCATTTGCATAAACATGTATGTAGTTACCACACTGTTATTTCTTGATTCGTGTATTTCGTCCTTTCAATTTTGTTTTGCTGCAATATAGCTTTGATTTTTTCTGTGTAATATAATGTGTTGACATGTTATTTACTGTTTTTAGTCAGGTTTTGGGCAGAAAAAGTTTAACATGTTTATAATGAAACCTTCCCTATCTTCACCCTACTTTAAAAACTGACCTTTGGTCTCATCTTTTGTTTTTGAACTTATTTTGGCCATCATCATTCAAAGTTCATTCAAGATGTAGTAAAACCATTTTACCTGACTGGTGCCAAAACACTAATGTCATAGACTAACATGTCACGGGGGCACTGATTTCAGTTGAATTCAGCTGAAGTGCACTACAAACATGAAAATATGACAAAATGGATGTACAAAATTATTTTGAGGTAACAAGGCAGAAACACAGCATAACATAAATATGAACAAAAATGTTATGTAACTATACTGAAAAATGGTCAATTTAGGTTAACCCATACACCTCCTTTACCTGCTGTACCAGAATACTCTGCAACATCATGTTAAATACCAAATCTAGTATAGGTCTAGGACCTATCTTGCAAAGTAAGCAGTTTAATTACTACTTTTACTACTTCAGGAATAGAATCGTAGCGTACTGTATACATAAAAAGAATAAATAAATTATTTATGTTGTCAGATAACTAGTTCCTTTTATTGCTTATTGTGGCAACAATCATTTCCATGAATGTCTCTAAACTAGTTCTTCGTCTTTTACAAAAAGCTGGATGCAAACTATTCCAACAGTACAACACTGTATAATATTGATTTAAAATAATGACTAAGTATGCAAAGAAAAATGAAACTAACAAACTGCAACTGATAAGGAAACCAGATCTTAGCCAGATCTTTTTCATAGCTGTTTTCACTATTGACTCTCTAGATAAAATCTGTTTGCACTATCTAAAGCTAAGCTTTATGAAAGTTATATGTTTTCCCTTCTTAGGCTGTGGAGCTTTATAGAACTTGTGAGTTAAGGAGTGATCTCCATGTGTGGCTTATTGCCATGACTTGCTTTGTTCTTTTGTCCAGGTGGCATTTGTCGTGACTTGTTTTGCATTCATAGAACTCACACTGTCTCTTTCAGATGAAAATATTTTAGAGGGAAGTTTAAAGTGAAACCACTGCCAAGCAAAATGGCCACAACACGCAGAACCTCAACATCAGATGAGGGTTAGACATGTTGATTCCATTGTGCATGAATCTGATTTTATCTGAATGAATCAGTATGCTTATGTGTCAAGATACACTGTATGGCCAAACGTATGTCAATGACTGTCCATCACACTTGTATGAGCTTGTAGGGTGTCCCATTCCAAATACATAGTAATTAATATGGAGTTGCCCTGCCCCCTGTCTGCAGCTGCTCTGCCATGTTCACTTGTTCCATGAAGCGCCTGCTCTGTGAGTTTGCATGGTCTAGCGCTGGAGTCGGCAACATGCAGCTCCGGAAACCACATGCAGCTCTTTTACTGCCCCCTTATGGCTCCACAGAAGCATTAGATTTTTAAGTAAAAGCAAAATAATTCTGCTTTGCAGTAAAATAAATGTTTGCTGAGCATTCTAACACACAACAAATGGCCCTAAAGGCTGGAATTAATGTATAACTGCTAATTCACCAACCTTTAACCCAGAAGATGGGTGTGCAGGCTGCTGGTCAATTAACAATGCAGGCAACAATCTCATTTAGCTAGTAGCTAATGAAATGGCAGAGAAAAGAAGGATTCAAGACAAACACTGAGAATTTAGACAGGAATGGGCAGATTCATTTGCATTATTATGTACTCCAGCTGGTTTCCAGATATGTTAAATCTGCAACAAGAAACTGTCAACCACTAAAAAGTTGAATGTTGAGAGACATTGTACAAGAAACCATTCTAGTGGAAAGGTATCCTGCTGGAGATAAGTGGCTATAACACTGGCTGAGTTAAGGATTAAAGCAGAGTAAAGTCAGTCTGCATTTTTATTCATATTTTATTAGATTTTTTAGCTTGTATTAGCATTTGGATTGCCTCATTGAAGCATTAGCTTCTTAACATTTGGATTGCCAACCCCTGGTGTAGCTCTTTGTGGCTGAGCCTCCTTTGTTACTAGATGCTTCCATTTTATGGTAGTTACACTTACAACTGACTGGGGCAGATCTAGCAGAGCAGAAATTTTACAAACTGACCTGTGGCAAAGGTGGTGTCCTATGACAGTACCATGTTTAAAGTCAGTACAACCCATTTACTGCCAATGTTTGTCTTTGGAGATTGCATGGCTATGTGCTTGATTTTATACACCTGTTGCAAAAACACCTGAACTCAACAATTAGCAGGATGTCCACATACTTTCAGCCATTTAATGTACATAAGCACTGTGCATCTTCCATTACAACCAAATATTAATGTTTTTGACTTTATTACCTCCTGTTTCAGAGCTCAGGATTGTGCTGCTGGGGAGACTTGGAGCAGGAAAGAATAAAGTGGCGAGATTCCTGTTTGGTAGAAAGGAGCCTGAGGGTGAGGTAGGACTGTGCATTTTACATGAGGGAGAAGCTGCAGAAAGGAGGATCTGTCTGGTGGAAACACCAGGATGGGATCAACATGCTACATGTAATACCCCTGAGAAAATTAAAAATGAAATTGTCAGAAGCGTGACCCTTTGCCCTCCAGGACCCCATGCTCTGATTGTAGTGTTGCGTGTCAAAAGCCTCACTTCTGTAACAGAACTTAAAACAGCAAGCTGGCACAGAGCTGCTGTCTGAGAGGGCCTGGAAGCACACTATGGTGCTGTTCTTATGTGATGAGGAAGTGGAGGATCCCACAATTGAAGAGCACATTCAGAATGCAAGCAAACTACTGGACAAATGTGGCAACAGACACTATGTTCTCCGCTCTGAAGCCCAGGTTCCTGAGTTCCTCCAGGAAATAGAGAAGATGGTGGAAGGAAACTGTGGTGATTTCTTCCTGCCACAGATTTACTACGACTATATACAGAAGAAAACCCCACATAATACCACAGAACTGACAAAAATTTATGAGGACAGAGAGGAAAAGCTGAAACAAATACATCAAAAAAGACTTAAACAAGCTGTGGAAGAGTCAGAGCACAAAGAGTTTGTGAGACAAAGGCGTGGAAGTTCCTCACAACTCTTTCCCAATAGTAAGTATAAGTATAAGAAGTGTTTCTCAACCCTGGTCCTGGAGGACCACTGAGCTACACTTTTTAGAGTTTTCCTTCTCCCAATATAGGCTTAAAAGCCTATTATTGAGTTAAAGTGGCTGTGTTAAAGCAGGGACAGCACTAAAATGTGCAGGACATTAGGCCTCCAGGACCAGGACTGAAAAACACTGACTTAAGTAATTCAAATGTAACACATAGCCTTTTTTTAAATATTGCACATCAAAAACACTGCTTCATTCTGATTGCTCTGTTCTGTTTTTCTTATCTACAGTGAAAGAAGCTGATCAGAAAGTGAACATTGAAGCTGTTCTGCTCAGCCTTCGGGACGATATTGTAGGACTTGTGAAACAAAATCTCAGAACATTAGTAGTGATGGTGATTATGTCTGCTATGATTGTCATCGGTGCCCTTATTGGATCAGTGTCTGGAGCTGTATTTGGAGTACTGGGGGCATGTGTGGGAATTGTACTTGGAGCTGCATCAGCAGTTCCACTAACTTTATGGTTTATTGATGCCACAAGATTCGCAAAAGACAACGCTGGCAATTTACAGGAGAGAAAGGGTGACGCAAAATGCCAGTGAACGTCTAAAAACAGCCACAGCCCACCTTTCATGATCAATTCAAACTAAGCAGAGCAGAAACACACTCAAACTTGGGCTGCAAGAGTGGAGGTTTACAGTTTTAGACTTTATATGTCTGGCTGTAACTGAAAAGGGGAAAATTGCATGCTTAAAAGACATATTCACTTTTAATATGGTAACTTTCCAAGTGTAGGTGAGTCTGCTAACAAATATTTGCTAAGTGATCATTTCCACTTAATAACATAATTCTGTGTTGTTGAAATATATGTAGCATGATATTAGCTTACTGCAGTGGTCTTTATCTCTAGTTCTGGGGAGCTACCTTCCTGCAGAGTGCAGGTCCAACCACAATCTGCCACACCTGCTCCAGGTAATCAACCTTTTTTCCAAGCCCCTGATTGGCTGTATCAGATGTATCAGAGTTAAATAAGAGGCAGGGCACCTTATTGATACAGGTTAGAGCTAAACTCTGCAGGAAGGTAACTCCCCAGGACCAGGGTTGCAGACCACTGGCTTACTATATATAGGATAAAGCCTACTGTACACTTCATAATTGAACATATCTGAGTGTTTTTACACCTCGTTGTGCACATATTAACTGTACATTCTCTTTATTTATGAGTATTAAGTATTATTACTGAAACCAGCAGCAGAGATTGTGTTGGATGACATCAGTGCTCATGTTACATCAGTGGGTAGATGGAGTGTGGCAACTGTCACTAGAGTCGTGGTACCTGTTTTACTCGCTTTATGGCTGATTGATGCTAAACTAGCAGTTCACAAAGTAGTAGCACCCAAGCGAGAAAGCATAGCGCTTAGTGTTTGATAAATGAACATCACAGTAATTGTGCCCCTGACTGTGATCAGCAAAGTAGACTATTCTAACGGACATACCTTGTAGATCCACCTTACTGATGTGGAGTTAGAGCTGTGATTTTGGCTCTAAAACAGGTCTGGACTGGAGTCTGCTACACATAGGTTAAAAGATGGCTGAAAATTTGTGCATGAAAAGAAGGTTTACTGCAGAGGTCTCCAAAACCAGACCTTGGTTTTGGAGACCTCTGCAGTCTCCAAAACCAACTGGTAGTTACTTAACCTGTCAATGTAACTGTCTAGCCAACTAGTGCCACACCCACCAGTAATTATAAAATTCAAGACTGCAAGCTGGATTCAAACTCGAGATTTGTTTACAGGCTCTAAAGCGTGTCATATTATACACCTTTAGAAGAGACCTATAATGTTGCTGGAGCTCAGACACTGGTCTGTAAGTGGAAGAACAAGTTAGGTGTCTGGCAAAAAGGATGGTGAGGGTAAACATGATTCAGTACTTGGAATTTGAGCACCCTCTCGTGACTTAATAGTGTAACAGCATGCTGATAGTGCAGTAAGGAAGAATGTGGACCTCTGTGCTCTATAAGCAAGAACGTCATTATGCTGAACATGTTCTTATGTAACATATAATCAGTTAAAAGTGTTTTAGAGATATAATAAAACGTATTAATGAATATTCCTGTATTTTTTGTGGCTTAGAAAAGGAAAAAAGTATCAATGTGTTTTATCAGTGTACGAATATTAAACTGTTTTTTTTCCTACCTGTATTCCGTCCTGTTTTGGCTATCCAATCAGAGAGCAGGAGGGCGGGCCTTGTCTGAATACGGGTGGGGACAACAAGACACGGCTGACTTTACTACCAGGGCTTCTCCCAACAGTGAACGAGGAAGAAGAGCTCTGTCAGGCGAAGCTGCCTTCTTATTACCTTCTTAAATAAATAAAGATAACTTTATGACACCGAGGACGGAAATTTAAACCTAATACATTTGAAGGATGTGTGCTTTTCTCTCTCCATTTCATCGACCGTGAGCTCTCCGTGTCCGTCTCTGCTGCTCTGTTTTTCTGGCTATGCTGCTGCAGGCGCTTTTACAACACATGAAGCGGTTTCCTTGGGTGACTAATGTGACGGTGTACGGCTGTCTGTTCGCCGGCGGAGACCTCGCTCAGCAGCGCCTGTCCGGCTCGGAGAAGCTGGACTGGAGCCGCACCAGAAATGTGGCCGTGGTGGCTTTCAGTTTCCATGGCAACTTCAGCTTCCTGTGGCTGCGCTTTCTGGAGCGGAGATTTCCCGGAAACTCCATCAGCGCGGTGCTGAGGAAGCTTCTGCTGGACCAAACTGTGGGGGCACCTTTAGCCACCAGCGTGTTTTACACAGGTGAGTTTGATCAGGGGGCTTCAGGTCTTCAGGGACCCCCTTTAGCCAGTCCATATTTACATTGTACCTCCGGAAGCACCTGAGCCAGGTAATGCAGCAGCCACAGAGTGCTGAATACTAGGATGGTAACACTACACACTTAAAAAGAGATGGTTCTGTAGTAAAGGCGATGGTTCTCTTTAGAACCATGAGTTCTATAAAGAACCATTTCATGCTTAAATGTTTCTTTGCATTTTGAAATGGTTCTTCAGATTGATGCGGAATGTGTATATGGTACTCTATAGAACCTTTTTGAAAATCGTTCTATATAGCACCAAAAGGGTTCTTCTATTGTTACAAGCTTGACATCGTAAACAGATGAAGTACTCTTTTTGGTTCTGTAATGAACCATTTTCAAAAGGTTGTTTAACCATATACAACACATTCTCCATCAATCTGAAGAACCATTTCACCATACAAAGAATCATTTAAGCTTGAAATGGTTCTTTATAGACCTCATGGTTTTAAACAGAACCATTCCCTTTACTAAAGAACCCTTGAAAAAAACTTTTTTAAGTGTGTATTTCTAGTTCTGAGATCAAGATTTGATTAATTTTTCTATGTTTTATGTGTTGAAGAGCCCATATCGTACATTTTCCCCTGAGGTCTGCTTATAACATCTCATCTCATGATTATAACATGATTTCATGCATCAAAAGCATAGTTTATTCTTACATAACCATTTTCCAACCTCTCTTGATCCCCTACACTCTTAAAACAGATAGAACCCTTTGTATGCTTGATTGGTTGTTTGCATTGTGAAGTGGTTCTTCAGACTGAAGGAGAAAGTGTTGTTAATGGAACTCTATAGAACCTTTTTGAAAATGGTTTTATATAGCACCAAATATGGTTCTTCTATTGTTACATGCGTCACATCGTCATCTGTATAAAACCATATATAGCACATTCTTCATTAATCTGAAGAAGCATTTCATGATGCAAGCGATTCTTTGAGTGTTCATGGTTCTATATAGAACAATTAAGAACCATCTCAAAAATCTGATCTGAGCTGAAACACTTCAGCATGAATGGTCGGCATTCAGCTGCTGTAGGCTAAATAAGTGGATATGCAAGTGTGACCTATAACTAGGTTATTTTTTTTCATGTTTCACAATTTTCATAAGGACAAGTGGGAGACCCTCGGAAATACAGGTGGAGTACAGCAATACCGTTTTAGACTTAACACTGTTTCAACTCTCCTGTTTTAATACTGTATTAAATTGTTTTACACTTACTGCTTACCTGGCTCAGGTATGTTAGAAAATGGAACACAAAGAATGTTACAGCTCCACACATGCCCTACCTCAGGGGTCATCAGTTCTCTTGATGGAGGGCACAGTTTGATTAACATCTGCTCACTTAAACATTTATGGCACAAAATCTGAGTAACTTCAGGTGTTCCTGAGTGGTGGAATGGACTAAGCCATCACCCCAACAGAAGATCATAGGTGGCTAACAGTGCCATAGCCATCCATAAGTGAGTACCTAAGAAGAGAAAAAGTAGGATTGTGTGATGGAAAGAGTCCCTAGTGGTAAACTAAGCTAAACAAAAGTGTATTATTTTCCTAACTGAGAAGCAGAACTAAAAAATTAAGAGGACTTCTCTAATTCAAGTTTATTCAAGTTGGGTTAACTCGAAAGGCTGTGTAATCAGTTGCTTTATAATTCTAAGTTGATCTGACTTTCATTTTTAAAAGTGCAAGTAGTTTCTAGGTTTATGACAAACTGTGCTGGACTGAGGATGTCCTGGACCAGGACTAATGATCTTTGGACTTTGTAAACATGTAAAAATTGGGCACCCAGGTTTTGGGGCCCACAGGTGGTTTATGTTTTTTGATCCCTTCCCTACACACCTGAGCCAGGTACCTGTGTTTTGTGTTAGTCCACCTGCGCTGTACATTTGTTTTCCTGCTCTAATGTGATTCATCTTGTGACAATCTCCATTGTTAACTGATCGTGTGACTCATGTGAAGGTGTAGGAGAACTATAGGACTGAGGGAAGAAAACATAGAAGCACCAGGCTGATTACCTGGCTCAGGTGTGTAAGGAAAGGGAATGCTACAAAAATGTGGTCTGAGAGAACTAGAATACACACACACACATTTTGGCAGCAGTATTTTACACCCTAGCAGGACCTCATTTTTGCTAAGCCTCAGCAACTAACACACCTGAACCAAGCAATCACACAAACACTGGATAGTTGGTACACAAGAGCAAAATGAGTAGTCCAGTCCTCACTGACCTCCAGCTATCTCACATTTCTGTTGCATGCTATTGTGTAGGCAGGTAATTATCATTTTACAACTCTTTTATTACCTGACACGAGTGGGTTGGGACCTAGAATAGATAAAAAATGTGGACTGGGGGGCTGGGGTTTAGGAACAAATGTGTGGAGAGACAGCTGGGATAAACCAGATCACAGCCCCAAATAGGTAGTAAACAGTATGAACATCTGCTGGACAATATTGAGCCTTTTACATTGACCATATTAGCCTCTGTTACGTCCTTTTAGGGGTGAGCTTTCTAGAAGGAAAAGATGACATATTGGACGACTGGAAAAAGAAGTTTGTCAACACATACAAGGTAAGTATTTTAATAGCTTATCATTAAATTTTAGTTTCACTTGCCATTGAAACAAACTTTTTTTATTAAATGTTAAGTAAAAGAAAATTACTGTAGTTCTTTTTTACCTTTTATGTTACAGACGGGACTCATGTACTGGCCATTCATGCAGGTAAAATGTTATCTCAATCACTTCTTCCAGAATTCTCTGATAAACACACACATGGTAAAGTGTCTGTGTTGGCAGATGTCTTGAATTACAGTACTGTGGAAAAGTCAGAGATGCTTTCATTTATTTAATTTCCAGTCAGAGCAGCCATTAAGTACGTTATTCATTATTTCAGTGTCAGAAAACATATTTAATAGAAAACTACACAGAAGCCAAAACTAAATATATATTTTTTTTCAGTATTTAGGGTGCCCACAGTTTACTTCTTTTCAGGAGACCCATTTTAAGTTTTTCTAAACAATCTGCAGGGATATTTTTCCCTACCTCAAAAGTTCAGTCTTAGAAGTTGGTTGCATTTTCTTCTTCTCACAATCCAAATATTCCCAACAAATTTAGATTCTTTAGGCCATAACAACTTCCTCCACATCTCAGATGTATAGTTTCCTCTTTTTTCTGTTTCCTTTTCTCATTGAGGGCTTCTTGACAGCTACTCATCCTTTTAACGTTGAGCTAGGATCATTAGTGGAGGATAAACATTAACCCCCTTAAATGGTCAGAGCCCAACGATAGCCCTAAAGTTTTATTACACACTTCTATAATCTAAGAATAGCTCAGCCAGTTTGCAGTGAAGTCCCTGTAGTTACTGAATAATAAGCCTTAGTATGTGATAAGCCTGAGTTTGTAAGGGGTTAACTGCCCTGAGCAGTGCAGATCTCCAGGGTGGCATGAACAGTGTTTTCTCAAAAAATCCATCCACATGAATCTGTGTCTCAATTCCAGTTCCTGAACTTTTCCCTGGTGCCTCTGTACATGCGCACTATCTTCACGGGCTGCTGTGCTTTCGTCTGGGCCACATTCCTCTGCTTCTCCCTGCAAAATGGAGACGGCACCATGACGGCAGCTCTGGACTGGATTCACCAGCTGAACGGAGAGGTGAAGGTGCAGGAGACCGCTAAGAGCAAGTGATTTGCAGATCGCTGCAGATAAAGTTGAGCTGATCTAAAGCAACTGGACAAACATGCACAGACGTATGCAAAAGTCGGAACGTCAAATTACAATTTAGTGCACATACTGGGAAAAAAATAAAACCTAAAGTATATAATGTGCCATAACCTTTTCGCAGGTCTCAATTTATGTTTTATTTTTTCCCCAACATGTTAAATTCATGCCATAATAAGACCACCCATGTGAGCTTCATGTTGCTTTAATTGGGTGTTGTTGCTCGCATGGTACTTAACTTCATGTCCCTAACAAACAAGTCAAAAAAGGTTTTGTCATTAATATGTTCAAAAGTAAAGGCCCCTCTGTCAGCCATTATAAAAAATATGCTTCACTGAAGTTTACAGACATCCTCAAGTTCAGGCAGCACTCTTGTTTTAAAAAGCCCTGTTCAAGGGCATGATAAAAAGTCATGTCACTTGTCTTTGGTAGAGACAGGGACCTCCCCATATTATGAAATAAGTACAGTTGATAAAACTAAACAACTTCGAGAAAAGTATGAAACTGATTCTGTTCATTCTGTAGACAGTAAACTCTGCATGATGTATAGGGTTGAGGTTCAGCAGTAAACAGCAAAAGTATCACTTACTGATGAAAGTATGTCAAGAACACTGTGTACAGTCCAAGCATGTATTAGAAGATTTTTTAAAATAATAATTTAATAATTAATAATTAACTAGGCCATAGCCTACAATACTAGCAGCACTGAAAATTGGCAGATTTCATACATAATACCACATACATAAACAAAGCTTGCCAGATCACCACATTGTCATAATATCTAGTGCTTTATATGTCAACATTATAACACAAAAACAAATTATTTTTACAGGAATTACATATAATGGATGTTTTGTGGTGTAGATCATCAATAATCACGTAATTTTGATAAAAAAGCTAAAGTTAGCTGTTAGGATACCTGCTTCACTAAGCCACACAGGACTGCTCAGCTCGTTTTTATTTATACCCTCTGTTTTAGCATGTAATGACACCGCAGTGTGACTGGTGTGGGAGATTTGATGGAAAATATTTTCAGCAATATAAGCTATGTGCTTTTTTCGACAACCAAAATTTCAGATAATTTCAGAAAGTATGGAGGATATGTCCCCATCCGTCCACCCCTTCAGTTTGCACAAGTAAGTTCCTGAAGAAACTGCTGCAGAATGTTCTCCTTTAGAGGGCGCTTTCCCTCAGCTGAATGAGCTGTAGGCTAGACTTGGGGTATGTTCAACATAACACGTTTTTCATACACATACTTTAAAAGCAGTGTAGGCTGTATTTTGGTACAGTGTTCTTGCCCATTCCCACTTATTGTTAGTGAGACAAGGGGCCTGATTCACAAAAGTGTCTTAAAAATAAAAAAATTCTCAGGTAATTTAACTTCATTCTTAAGAAAAAACTTACACAAAAGTGTTATTCTTCTTATTTTCTTTTCTTAAATATTTTCTTAGGAATAGTTCTAAGAACAGTGGTGTTCTAGAAAACATTATGTTCTTAAATGTGTTCTTAACCTTACGATAGACTCACACTCGTCTCAGGCTGTAAGAGTTGACAAGGTCAGCGTCTAAATTTATCAATGTATCTACTTCCGCCCGCCCTCGTCTCTTGCTTTCTGCTGTCAGCCCACAATTATTGTATATTTTGCAAGCAGGATTTTTTTCCTGTTGGCTGCTTCTTCCACCATCACCTCTAGCTCTTTTTTTTAATCACTCGGTTTGATGTTTAGCCTCTGTTTTGCTCCTCTGAGTGGATTAACCTAATAATTGAAATAACAGTTAATACAAATTCATAATGTATCTTGCATCATTTATGGTACAGTTCAAAATAGCTGACATAAGAAAAAAATGAATATTTTCTAAAGAAAATGTAAGAAAGTAATTAAGATCATCTTAAGAGAATATTTGAGAACTTCTTACGTTTTTTTTTTTCGAGAATTGCATTTAAGAGCATTCTTATGAACTTCTTAGTGTTTGTTTAAGAACCTTCACAAGTTTTTCTTAAGAAAATTTTTGTGAATTCAGCCCTGGTGAACAGTATCTTTTCGAACAAGAGCTAATGTTACTTCTCATCATGGTTTCTTATCAGCTGTGAACTGAATGTACTGAACCATACTGAACTATACTGAATGTGTCTTTAGGTATTTATAATGTGTTAAAATATTGAGAGATCATTTTACTAAATGCTTCACCTCTTTAGCAGCAGAATGATGTTGCTGCTGATTACCTGTAAAATATACTGTCCCTCTATTTACAGGTCATTTGGAATTGTTTATAATGTATTTGTAATTTGCAATATTGATGTAATAAATAAAAGGAATTAAACAATTTACATAAATACCTTTGTGATGGTTATGGTGTTTTGTAATAAAGAATCAAATAAAAGCTAAATAACCCCAATAATGTTATTTAGCTGGGGTGTAATGTTGATTTAAAATATTAAATAATGAAAAAATGATTAAACTCTTTCATATCTAAATACTAAACAGATACAAACGAAAAGGCAGGTAAATATAAATAATAAATTTAAATAAAGATATTTATTGATTTAGTCATGACATATCGTTTGTAGTGTGTTTGTAATTGAAATAATAATAAAGAGTTAATAAATTAGCATTATCTGTCTGTAATTAGCATAAACAGACAGATAAATACAAATAATAGTTCATTGATTGATAGGTTGGTTGATTTTAGACATTGAATATTAGTCATTTATAATAAATAAATACATGTAAATAATAAATATTTACAAAATAATTAAATAGATAAATACAAACAGATGTTATCAATAAGCTACTTTTTATATATTTACAAAGGAAATCTACAATAACATTTACAAATATATAGTAAGTAAATAAATATATTAAAATGTAGACTTTCGTAGCAGTCACTGTAATTTACAACAAATAAATTAATGTAAAATAACAAAAAAGGTACAAGATAACGCAACAGATAAATACAAATAGATAGATAGATAGATAGATAGATAGAATTTTACCCATAACATATATTTTTGGTCTATTTGCAATGGAAAATAAAAAATAAACAGACGAATGAATAAGTTATCAAATGCTTTTGTAGAGGTCATGGTTAATTATTATAAATACATCTAAATAATAAATGTATACAAAATAACTAAATAGACAAATAAATATAAATAACTAAATCGACTAATAGATTGATTGATTAATTGATTAATTGATTGGCTGATTACAGCTTTCCTGCTGTTTACATTCTGCTGTGTTTCTGATCTGAGTCAGTCTCCATCCCTGCCCTCTCTGCGCTTGCGCCCTGCATCCCTGCTCCGCGGCGGCGTGGCAGTGACGTCAGCAGCCCCGGGAGGGAGGATGAGGAGCAGCAGAAGCAGCAGCAGCAGAAAGCGGCAGCCTGAACACACGAGCGAGAAAGCGGCAGCGTCCACAGCCCTACAGCGCAGCAGCCGCGCAGACTGACCGACACGAGCCTCCCGCAGACATGGAGCTAAAGAAGTCCATCTCAGACGGAGAGAGCGCGCCGCGGAGCTACGGGGCCGTGCGCAACACGGACTGGAGCAGAGACAAAGGTGAGAGGAGCATTGTGGGATACAGTCCACCAGTGCGATCAGGCTGAAAGAAAAGCAGCTGCGCTTCAGAGCTGTCAGAGTGGAGAGCTGCTGTGGTGCTTTCCAGAACAACGCTGCACTGGACTCAGCTCTCCACACGCTTACATACTGAAGTGAATCACTGGCTCCTGTGGCCAGACCTCGTTTATTTGTGCTGTGTTGTCAGCATAGCACTGCAAAAATGATAGCATGGCAAGAGAAGGGATCTTAAACATAACCAGTATATCAGATTTATTTATATTCTTATAGATAATAAGGCACTAATAATATTCTAATGCATCTAATAGAAGGTTATTGTAAGAATATTATGATCATTCAACACATTTCTGTGCATTTTCCACTTATTTGAAGTGATCTTATCAAGGAAAATGGTCTGTCTAGACTGGCAGATCATTTTGCTAATTTTGCTGTTTATTATTTGAACTTAAATTATCTTCCAGTGTAGTAACTTCTATTGATGAGGTCACTTTATATAAGTATAAGTAAGTAGGATATGTTTTCTTGCAGTGGGTGTACTTGAGCAGGCTGTTTTCCTCTCAGATGACATGCTGTTATTTTTCATGATGTGACTCAAAGGGGAAATCCGCCGATCTTTCGGAGTTTCTGCATGATTTATTAATTGATTGATTGGTTTATTGCCACATGACATGTCGGTGGTAATTGTATCCAGTGCATCAAGATGTAATTCAACTCTGTTGTAGCGCAATACATGTAAACATGTAATATAATACATGTACAGTTAACAATATACAATGCAATATACAGCATGCAACATTTGGTAAATGAGAATCTAGGAGGCTAGGAGATCTTGACTACAATGATATATACCTCTCAGAGTGTAGTCACCTTATGGCAATAGGAAAACAGCTGTTCTTGAAATGGGTTATCTTAGCTTTTAAAGCTCTATAGCGTCTCCCAGAAGAAAGTGTTAGAAAATATCAATGTAAGAAAATGTCAATACATTTGAGTATCGCAGTATTATATTTTGTGATACTGTATCCATTCTCAAAAACACAGTATTATTTTTAATAAATAGTTTACAGTATCGACATATATTGAATCGTAGCCCCTGTATCATGAATATATCGCATCGCCATGTTCTCTGTAAAGTCCTACTGCTTAGTCAGCTAAATAAAGTGATATTGCAGTTATCTTTGAAGCTTTGCCGACAATACTTTATAATTTATTACGTGTTTCGATATCTATATATAAAATTTGGAAAAATGTTACAAATTTTTTCAAATTTTATGATGCTGACTGTCCCAAAACCTTCCTATAATCCACAATGGTCTCCACTGTCTTTGATGTATTACACTGGAGGTCACTGATACTACACCATGTTACTGATCAATTCACCTCCTGCCGATAACTAGTCTCAGTATTATCTGTAATAAGGCCTATTATGGTGGTATCATCCGCATATTTCACAATTTTGACAGATTTGTGGTGAGATATCAGATCATTAGTGTAGAGAAAAAAAGCCATGGAAACAGTACACAGGCCTGAGGCGCCTCTTACTAAGTGACAAACACTGATGTTAAATTATTGATGACACAATGACATAAAGCTGGGCTAATGTTTAAATTCATTAAGATCTTGGTGATACTCACCGTATTAAAAGCTGAGCTGAAATTCATTATAAAAGAACACGTAAAAGTCTTAATGTCTCAAAATATGATAAAGAGCTACATTAATGGCATCGTCAAGTGATCAATTGGCTCGACAAGCTAACTGATATAAATCCAATACTGAAGCTGTATGTATTTATACAGTCATTGCAATGTAAACAAAGTCATTCAGAGTGATTTGATGTGAAATGCATCATTCTAGAGAAACTTGCAGACATCTGGAGAGTTAAATACCTTTACTGAGGCATTGTTTTCTGATAGTTTTGAGAGAAGGTGTTGGCCTAAAACATTTTTTTAAATCATTGGATGGCAAAGATGTACGTGCAAGGCAAAATAATAACTAGACTTCTGAAGCATTTAACTCCTAAATGGCCAGGGCCTAAATGTTTCTATAAGCTAAGAATAGCTCGGCCAGTTTGCAATGAAGTCCCTGTAGTTACAAAATAATAAACCTTAGTATGTAAGAAGCCTGAGATTTTAAGGGGTTACTTCCTCTAAAAGCTCCCTCACAGACATGTTATTATATGAAATAGTACCAGATAAGCTACCTAAAACCTGACACATGGTTTTACAATACTTTTTTTAAAATGAACAATTTTGGCAAAGAACTTGTAATTGTAAATTTTGAAAATTTGGTTGAATTTTCCTTTACATAAGCATGCTTTAAACTGGAATAAGGACAGTAGTGGTTCATTAGTGGCTATAACCATATTTAAGTCAATTTTATCATGTATCCTTCAGCATGCAGTATGTTTTACTAACGTCATCAGCTTTGTTAAGGCCAGTTACTTGCAAATTACTTTAATCTTCAAATCAAAACAGAACTTCACAATGTTTCATCACGGAACATTTCTTTAAAACTAATATAAAATAGAATTGTTCTTTGTTTTTTTAGCATTAATACTAATCAAAGATCAACAAATTGTGTAGGCATAAAATCCAGTGTATTTTAAAATCCTGTTTTTTATATGATACTCTGTATCTATTTTTTCTTTTGTTGCCTCAAGGCAACGTACCCCGAAAGAATCAGGTCCATTTCATGTAAGAAAAGTGATTTTATTAAGGCATTGCTCTTCTAATCTGTGCAATAGAGGGTTAAACCTGTTTGAAGAGGCATCGTGCCTCCTTATTGTGGTACAAACCTTGATGTGCACTTCTGATGGGTACAGAACGGAACTGATTTTAGCTGGTAGGTGGTAATAAGGCCAATGGCTTTCATCAGAAATGAGAACAGTTCAGTTGAATCCACTTGAAACCAACAGAAACCATTAGCAACCATTTCATCCTTGTAGATTTAAATTGCTTTACTTTACTGCAGCCAATTGGATTTTCCCCTAGGGATGAGTCAGCGTGCATGCTGAAGGGTGCGCATCGTTTTTATTCTTTAATTATTCAGTTCCCGTCCGTCATCAGTCTTTTTTATGGAAGTTGTTGAGAACATTTGTGTTTGGGTTGTGCGTTTAGACAGAATGTGTTACAGTGTTGTCAAAGGGTGACTAGAGACACTCTTTTTTCAAAAGAATTAAGATGCACTGTTAGATCTATTCCGCCGATTATGCCGATATTGCTCACACCCAGACTCAGACAGTAACACCACAGATGCTCCAACACATCTCACTCAACTCATAAAAATGGCTCGGCAGATATTCTGCAGTATGAACCAGGAGAAACACTGAAAGCATCCTAAACTGTGTATTTCTGTCTTGACTCTCTAGGACTGAGACTGAGGCACGCTGGTGTTTACCACAATGTGTGGTGGTACTAAATAGTGTTCAGAGTATTAAATGACACTCAGAGTAGGACGCACACAGCAGTGGAGACTGCGAGATACTGTAGTTAAGTCCTTCAGTGAGAAGAGTAGAAACTGGCTCTATTTATAGACGTTAGCAGCAGCAGAGCTTGTATTCAGCTCATTGCACTGATCAAACCCCACAGATCAGAGCTGCAAGGCTGGATGTTGCACACTGAGCATTGGATTTAAGTCCTGCTGAGTGTTATAGTCAGCAGTAATGTTGAGTTGCATATGCATGAAAATAAATAAATTGATAGAAGATGATGACTCGGTGTCATCTGTGCCCCTCACCATCGTAAAAGGCCCAAATCTTGGAGAACTGCAACTGCAATGAAAGAGTATGATATGATAGAGTGTGTAAACACTGGTAAAATAATACAGTTTACGTCACAGTGTATACAGTCTGCATAGAAACTAAGCTGCTAAAACAGCCCATTTTGAATTGTTCTTGTGATGCTTACAACAGTTTAGTCCTGCCCATTAACACTGAAGTTATAAGAGGCGTTTCACTGCCTTTTGAATGAGGCACAATGCAGTAACAACAGAGGAAATGGAAAATGGAAAACAGATGGAAAATGCTCATGTAAAAATTAAATATGTCTGTTTTTGGTATGTTAAGCCATACAAATGTCATAAGCGGATGGCTTAGGGTGGGGGCGGGGGGTTAAGTACAAGATATGGACACTTTAAAATGGGACAAAATATTTATTAAGCATCGCTACTACCTCCAGCCTTGCTACAGTAGCCTCAAGAGCGGGATTTTCAAGTTTTATGACTGAAAAAACCCTTTTTTGATACAGTTTTGGAAAAGCTACAACTGCTTTGGGTGTTTTTGGGGTAATTTTTGGTAATTTGGTGATTTTTTGGTAATTTATTTTTTTTTACTAGGGGCAAATGCAAATGGAAGCTACATAGCTAACATTACTGCTAATATATTAATGCAACCATAAAAACTGGTCTAAGAACTATCTTCAATCATCATACTTGAACAACAGAAATGACTTGATGAAGAGAACAACAAGCAAAAAGCTAAAGATAGTAACTATGCTAGCAGCCTAGATACCTCACCTTAGTTTGGCTCCTTTTCTCTGTTGTCCATTGTGTGGTGAATAAATAAAGTATCACTGTTTCTTTGTGACCTGCTTTGTTGGATATGGCAGTGATACAGTGTTTGGATCTTTCTAGTAGTCCTCGGGCTTAAAGTATTCAAAAGGCAGTTATTTAACCAAGGAAAGAGTTACACTAATGCTAGCTTGGTTGTATTTATAATCCTATAGATCAGTGGCTAGGCTAGCGGTTAGGATTGGTTGACACCACATGGATTCCCAACAGGGTTGCCAGATTGTTTCTATAGTTTCCAGCCAAAAAAAAAACTTGAAACCCTCCAAAATGCATGAAAAAACACCTACAAAGTGCATATCCAAAACAGCCATTTTAACCATTTTATCAAAGAACCAAAATCTTTTTACTTAGTTTTTAGTATCCTTGTCAAACATCTAAGGAACGCCTGGACAAAGGCACTAAAATAATATTAATAAAAT